TGAACCTTTGCTCCTTCCTTATATCATTTTCATAATATATCGATCCTGCAACAAAGTGCCATGCAAAACTTTTGAAAGTTGTTGGGTGATAATCCAGAAAATGACCTTAGTTTCAGAAATTCATGAAACCATTTTAAATTGGAAATCTAATGAAGGAATTGTATTCGAAAATAACCAATCTAAAGATAATATTGCTAATAATTTAACCTATAGCAGAAATATATTGCTTACAATATAATTAATCATACTTTATAGTCAATTTATTAATAATACATTTGTACTAATATACTCTACAAATTTTCTAAGGAGAAACAAAGAATAATTCAGCGCTATTTGGATATAATACACTTTTACGATAATTTGAATACTGTATTTCTCCTTCATTGTATATTGTTAATTGTTATTACTAACACAGGTATTCTAGTATAAATACGTAATATGAAAAGGTTAATATGGATTTTAATAATTGTCATTAATACAAGAAGATATTTTATTTAATAGTTACCGATGATCATAGTACGTGGATGGCCCTTCGGGCCATCCATGTGCTATGATCATCGGTAACCTCTGTTATAATTCCTACTCCCCCAGGAAATAAATAATACGTATTACCAATCTGCGTTGGCATTATGATTTTGGTTTTTTTTAACTTGAGTTTATATGCTGTTGAACCTCCCAAACCGATCCTATCGAAATCGATAACCTACCAAATCTGATAAAAAATTAGTCTACAAGTCTGGTTCCGCTATATAAATCTAATAGCTTATAAGTTTTCAAACTTTATAACCTCCCAACACTGATACGAAACCCGTCACTATGTATATTAATTTTGAGAGGTCAACAGTAGTGTATAAATTTTTTTTGGTAATAGTAAATAAGTGATGTAGCAAATTTTTTTTTCAGATTTTAAATAAGGGCGTAATTAATTGGGGTTGGCCGAATTAAACGTAGATCGACCAAGCGCATCATAATTCTTTGAGCTCTTATTAGTTTTATGAAAGCTTTAACATGATTGACATTTTTCATTTATAAATGAAAGTCTAGTGAAAAGTGGAGATAATGTACAAGAAAAATTGCACGAGGCTGCCTAAGGTCAAGCACATCATGAGATTACCCGATAGCAGTGTTGGGTTCGGACGTTGTCCCATTAAAATTGCAGGGACACGGACAGTCCCGGACAATGCCCATGTCCCGGACAATGTCCCATATCCATGATGGTGTCTAATGTCACATTGTACACAAGGGCAAATCAAACGATCTGATTGGCTAACAAAGCAGCCCTTATTGTAATTTTATTGTCCGGGACGTTAACATTCTGGCGGACATGTCCGGGACGTCCCATCCCGGACTGTCAGTTGTCCGTGTCCCTGTCCCAACCCAACACTGCCCGATAGTTACCTTTAGTCAGCATAGCGGGCTTTCATTCCGATTGGCTAATTTTGTAGATCATTTCGTGATTTTACAAGATCTGATTGGATAATGGGCTTATACTGAAATCGAAACCCAAAGTAAATATTTCGAAAAATATTATAGTATTAATTGAATAAAAGATATATTCATTTAAATTTAATAATTACAATAATTATTACTTTAATTTGATAGTCGTTGTTGTCATATAAATTTTTTTAAAAATCGTATCTTAAATTTTAAATTTTAAACGATCAATTAGGTACGTGTATAAAGAGCTTTGTACTAAAACTAAACTGCTAACAATAAATAATAACAAGAAAAATACTAATTAAATTAATATAAATATATTAAACACAAAACTCAAACCCATCTTTCAATAGTTTCGACAAGTCTTTTAGGTTTACTTATTATATTACAAAAGTTGAAACCAGTTTTGACTTCCATCAATATCAAAATCTATAGGCTTCATCTAAAAACTACAATCTAAACGTAAGCTCGCTTACTCGAGATCTAACTATAAAAAAAAGTTTTAATATTTCTTTCGTTTTAGAGATTCTTATATAGTATAAGTAGTGGTACGGGCTGACCCGGCTAGAATCGATTCTCTTATACTGGCTAAAAAATTGGCTAAAAATCAATTAATCATTTATAAAATGTAGACATTCATTAATTGTCTAATTTGAATGATAAACAATATAAGAAGTGGAAATGCATAGACAATCAACCAACATCAATATAAGAAATGGAAATGCATAGACAATCAACCAACATCATTATACTAAATATAACGCATTATAATTAAATACAAAATAAAAAAAGTAAATGATTTTAGTATACTAGAATTTGGTAAGGAACTACCTGATCAACGCTTGATATAGATATCGAGACTAATTCTTATTAGAAAAATTTATATTAGCAAATAAATTCGGCCCGGTCGACCGGCCCGAGCTTTTTTAGGATCGACCCGGCCCATGATTTTTTCATCGGCCCATATCACTAAGTATAAGTAACAACTAAATTTTAAAAAACGCTTTATATCTAACCCTCATGATATTCCTTTGTTTCCGTGATTATTTTAACAGTATATGAGCGAAAGGTGTAGTTTCTAAATATATCTTCGGTTTCCCTGGACTATTCTTTTTCATGGCAGCAATTAGATGATATATGTGGCTTATATATGACGATACATTTCAGTAATGACCAATCGGATTTAAAGACCACTATGCTCCTGTAGCTCCTTTAGTCGTGAATAATCCCAGATCAGTCCGAAAATCAAAACAAATAATTAAACTCAATACGAATAGTGAAATCCGCTTTTATATAAGAAAAAACGTGGATTTCACCTTAACCCTACAAAGCGGTTTCATTATTTCGCAACTCAGGTTTCACTTCATAGTAGGACATTCGTATGATTGGACTGATGTAAATCAATTGCCCGGGTAACGCGTTTTACTAATAAAAAATCGCCGCAAAAGCCATTCCTAGCTTTAAACGAACGTTAATATTTACTGCGCAAAAGAATCTCACTCCTCGCAGCTTTGCTTAGAAGACAAAATATATCACTGCCCTATTGGACCATGCAAAATTATACTTTGGAATGAAGGTAACTGGAAAGTTTTCGTCTAAAACTACTTTATTACGTTAGATTTTAAATAAAATTTTTACTAACTTTTTAATTTGAACGGGTGCAAGCTCTTTGTAGAAGAATCAGATTTAATGTTTAAATTTGGTCTGTTCCTCTACTGTGCTTGGGTTTGTCAACCGTAAATTAAAGTTTGAGTTTATCTTGTAGATTCTTTAATGAGTCAGGTTTATTAGTAATAAATATCACATTCATCCCACTTTACGCATATCCATCTATTCTTTAGAGTGTATGTGATAAATATTTTAACGTGTATTTATGAGTTTGTAAGCTTCTTTATATGACGTTTCTTTCATTTCTAGTAATATGACAATAAAATTTTTAATATTTCTGCAATTTGATTGGTTAATTATCAAGGCAATCACGGGTAGGTCTACAAAAATTAACCAATCATATCAATGTCTCCCATGAGGTTTCACTCGGTTCTAACTCAATTATCTTAAAATGAGGAAATATGTCAAAATGGGCCTTTTTAATGTGAATCACCAAATGATCGTCTCGCCCAATCGTTGAATCAATTAATCAACACAGTAAAAAATTCGAAGAAAAAGGTAACAAAAGAAATTTAATAGTTTCGAATTTCATACTATGGTTTGATTTTATATATAATTATAGCACTCGTTCTGCTCTGCTCAAGAGCTTGGGCATGAGTTTGAGACTATATGAGTGACGCCAAGGGAAAACCTGTCATCAGGCTGTCAATTATATTTTGTACCGGATAAAATCTATTTAATTTCTTATGGAATATGTCCGGTACAAAATATAATTGAAAACCCGATGACAGGTTTTTCCTTGGCAGCACTCATATACAGATATATACAACGCAATCAAGTTTGTGTTACTGAGGTTTGCCTTTTTAATGAACTTTTCGCTTAAATAAGTTAGTAACATTGGCTGATCACCGCAAATAGATCAAAACTGATAGAGTTTAGAAAAATAGAGTGATACGAACTTAAGTTCGTCGTTAAAAAAATGTATATCCACAGAACAAATCTAAGTGCGTTGTTTAAAAAAAATGTATATCCATGGAAATATCGGGGAGATTCTAACAAATGCAAAATTCACATAGGACAATTAGTCATCATTATATAATGACAATATAAATTTAAATGTCGTATAATGTAAAGATTAAATATTTGTGCACGTGAATGTGATACAAATCCGAAAAAAAGAGTAATAAATTTTGAGTAACTAGAACATTGGAATAGAGAAAAATAATCATTTGAATGTGCAAAATTTTCATTCTGTCGCGTTTGAATTAGTATCGTAAGGTGTTCATTTTTATATTTTCGGGGTTTTTTTATGCATGTATGTTTGATCTGAAATAAAAATTTAAGGTCTTTCAATTACATAACTGTGAATTCATGACATTAATCTAAGCTGATTTCAAATCTACATCTTAAGCTATGTTTTTTCAAATTAAACTAAATTAGGTCGTATCCAGGGACTCAAATTCTGCAAAGTAAAATTTTGTAATCAAATTTAAGTTCAAATCCACAATTATCCACAATGAAATCTAATTTCTGCAAAACAAATAAAATTTTCGTAAGTAATTGGCATTCGGACTTTTGCGGAAAAACACATTACTTATCAAAAACTTCATTGGCTATCTTGTATATAATTAGTAATTGTCCAGAAAAACGATGCATTTTTGATAAGTCTGATATTTATAATGTAGTACACAAAATAACCGTTTAATTTTATTAACTTTATATAATTAAGATCGGAAAATCTTAATTATCATAATTGACGCAGCGTATAAATAAGTCATTTACCTACGTGCGTACATTTCATTTGGTGAATAATAAATATCTCTAAATAATAATTTTTTTTAGAAAATTTATACATTATTTAGTACATTATCTTTCAAAAAACTAACTAATCTCAATTTCCTTTAATGATATGGGATGTTATTCTTCCAATTTAAACGAAAATAATTGATGATTCAATGGATTCACAAAGCCCACAGCCAGAATTTCGATACAATAATGGTAGAAGATATCATAACGCAGAAAATGCTGTATACCATTTACCGAACGATGATTATGAAACAGATAGGCTACATATACAACATTTCTTAGTAAGATACATGTGGCAGAGCAATTTTTCTTCTCCTATCGAACATATTTTGTCTAAACCAGGTGCCAAAGTCTTAGATGTTGGGTATGTATATGAATATCATTACATATGATAGTTAAGTAATTATATGATTGATGGGAGAATAACAAAGTTCTCGGAATCTATAAAAACCTTATTTATTTTGATTCATATAACAAAATCGACTCACAAATATTTATGTTAAAATAATTTATCGAGTTTATTTAATTTCGAGTTATTCATCTTCTAAATTTCAATTTAAAAAAAAAAAATTTAATTTTTAAAAGACTTATTATAAATCACACATAGTTAATTACCTTCAACATATATAATTGAACCCTTTGACGATAGATTTTAAATTATCAAATTTATTATATGCAGCATTTACACGTAATAACGCACATGGACGTTATTTTGAAATTTCATTTTTTTGAAAATTACATATTTGTTCAAAATAACGTCTATATGCATCTCAAAATAATGCGTCTTTATATTTAATATATTTACTATACCTAAATGGTTAGATATATCGTACATCTATTTATTATGTCCGATATAAAAGGATTCGAAATGTATAAATGCACGGGTCCTCAAACATTCGTTAGTAAGCGAAAATACAGTAGAAAATTAGGCAATTTACGAATTTACAAAAGAAATTATTTGTTTAAAAATAATAGCGTTAACATTTATTTTGTTTTAGGTGTGGCCCAGGGACATGGTCATTTGATATTGCAACTACGTGAGTATTTTCCGAATAAATAATTTTGCATATTATTATTTTTACCGCGCCGTTTTTTCTATTTCCATATTTGGAAGTGTATCTAAAATGAAAACTTAGTTTGTGGTTAAGGTTGGGACAATTCTGTAGGTAAAATTACTATACAGGCATTCTTTATTAATGCTAATGTAGGGTTAGACCCTTATTTCTTGTATTTATTTTTTCTGTTTTACATCGTAAAATTTATTTTTTAATTGATGATCTCCCAATAAGGAATGTGTAAGACGGTGCAGTGCGTTCTTTTAGTTCTTAATCTCATATAATGTTTTGTTAGGTATCCATTGACTAAGGTTATTGGAATAGATATATCTCCGCACCAACCAACTCAGATAAAACCCAATAACTTTGAGTTCATTAAAGCAAATGTTCATGAAAGATTACCATTCGATGATAACTCTTTTGATTTCGTATTTCAACGGCTTTTGATTCTCGGACACACTAAAGAGAAGTGGCCAAAAGTAATTAATGAGCTTGTCAGAGTTTTAAAACCAGGTGGTTTCTTAGAAGTATGTTTATTTGAAAATTTGGTATGATGTTTATAAATATTTTAAAAATAAGTACGTTTTTGATCATTTTATTTTTAAAAAAGTTATGTGAAACTTCCCTTCCATTTGATGAAGGGCCAGCTACTCAACGTATATGGAAGGCCGGTATGTATATTGGGGTTATATAACTGCTTTATTCTTTTATTTACATAATGCCTATTCAATTATTATGAAGAATCTGAAATATTAATGGAACAAGGCAATGATTTGAATGTATACCAAAAATTAGATCAATATTTACAAAATCAAGGTTTTTAGACATTTTATCTAACTTCATATTATAATTTATATGATTTTATAGATAAAATTATTATTAATGCTTATGTATTTTATAAATTAGGTCAATTTGAAAATATTAAAAAAGAAGTGAAAAAAACCTATTTTGGTGTAAAGCACAACAATATTGAATTTAGTAAAGCGGTATGTATCGTATACAAATTTAATTATTTTAATAAATTAATCTTAAATAAGTTTTTAAAATTATATAATTTTTATAAATTTAACAGTTTACCAATAACATGATTTCTATAATAAATTCTCTTAAACCTGTTTTAACAAAAAAATTACGAATTTCTGGTGAAGAATATGATGAGTTGGCCAAAACATCAGAAAAAGAATTAGTCGAACTTGATACTTACATTTATTGGGTTCGTGCCTATGCGAGCAAGGTTATTGATAATAATAATTAAGAAAAATTATATATTTAATTTTTATTAATATTATTAAACTCAATTCACATGATAGCCTTGAAATCATTTGAATTATAGATAATTAATTTTATTTCATACACATTTATTTAAATTATTACCATTAAACATATATAGTTAGTTTTAATTTATTCATCATAGTATTATATATTATGAGTATCTTAGTATTAAATATAAATATGAAATTACAATATTAACATATGCATATTGCTGTATTGCTTTAATTAAATAATAAATAAGATAAATAAATAAGCGATTAAATTTTATCTTAAGATAATTATTTAAGGCAAATAAATTAATGTAATTAATAATTAATACAATTTTTATTTTATTTATGCATAATACGTAGTTGTATAGCATCTATAATGATAAATTTTATACGGAGGTATGTAACTATATAACGCAGAATTCATAAATTTTTAATGCACGGAAACTTTGATTTGTTACAGATGGAGTTGGCAATTATCACCGCAGAAGATCGTCGACTTATTGGACCTAGGTGCCGCACAAAAATGCACGGCAGATCCTCGATTTTGATTGGCTAACGGCCGAGGATCTACAAAACATTGGCCCGCATTACATACGTAATTGTTTACTAATTTCCGGCCGGAATTAACTTTTTGATTTTTTCATTACCAAAATAGAAATAATTTTTAAAAAATAAGCCATCATTATGGTAAAATTGGCCCAGGAACAATTTTCATTTAATGGACGGCTGCGATTTCATTAGTGAAATTATGAGTAATTTCGGCCTAATTTTTTGATCGTTGCTCTTAGCCAATCAAAATCGAGGATCTGCCGCACTTTTTTGTGTGGCACCTAGGTTCATTCATCGACTTTTCTCTTATGTTGATTGTATTAAGCTGATTGGGAGCATAATAAATAGAAGTATCTAATATCGATACTATTCTGATATAAGCGTTTGACCTTCTTGAAAAGTCTTATAATCTTCTATGCCAAAAGAAATGGTTGAAAAACATTGAGTCAAATCTCAAACCAATTCAAAAGATGGTATACGTCACAACAAATTTGAACCAGATAAAAAATTTACAAAAGCCAACAAATAGTTTTTATTGGTGGTAATAAATTCGGAAGTCATAAATAATTCATATGTTAAGTTTGATAATAAAGGTCGCTGTATAATTTCAAACGAATATGATTTTTTCTTTTTTTTTTTGTGCAACAAAAATTTATACTATAATTAAATAATTAGATTTGTAATGCACGCATACCGAAAATGTGTACAAGGATGATCATGTGACAGTTCTGATGTCCTGATTACGTTAATGCTGTAATAAGGCTAAACCAATTGATTCTCTGTTTTACATTACCCTCCCCCTTCAGACCCTCCCTCTCCTTCATAGTAAAAAAAAATATTTTCTAGTAAAAATAGTTATAAAGCTGGTAACGACCGGGAATTTCCGATGTATACGGTAAACAAACCTAAAGTCGTTGAGCAAATATTCGAGGAATTCCGAAAAAGAAAATTTTGTTTAGAAGATAGGGCAAAAAAAAATTTCAATATATAATACGTTCAAACCCACCCCCAGAAGGTGGGGTAATGCAAAACTAAGGTCTGGCCTAACAATATTAGGCCACACAAAGTAAATTTTTCGTTTTGCATTACATGGTATCTCAAAACTCCGGTCGGCGGTCGGATTTTTTTTTTTTTTAATGTATATGACTTGAGTAAGTACGTACGTACGTACGAATATTTTAATTATCATGAAGATAAAA